TATGCATATATTTAAAGATGATATTTTCCAAGAATACTTAGAAACATTTTATCTTTTCTTACTGCTGAGAAGAAAATACCCAACACCCAAAGTGAGAAGAGGAAAGGTTTGTCTGGCTCTCAGTGGGTAGAGGTTCTGTCTGTGGCAGGCAGAGGCTGCAGGTGAGCTTGGCAGCTGCTGTTTTGCATTTTAGGACAGGGTCTCCAGGGTCTCACTGTGTAGATTGGACTCGTAGTGATTTTTCCATTTTCCATCCTCCCAAGTGATGGGATTACAGGCGTGCACCACCATGCCGCAGTCTCCATCGCTGTCTCAGCATACCCCAGGGGACGGGGCTGGGCTTGCACCCTGGCCACTGCCTCTGCCTAAGCAGGCGCTTTAATCTGCTGAGCTATTTGGGTAGCCCTTTTAGCAGCTTCTTTCTGCCCCTTATGTGTTCTGCTTAGACCACTGGACTTAGGAGATTGCCAAGCCAGTCGGGGCTGATTGAGGAATCACACACCCAGAAGCCCAGCAGCATCCACGCAGATCCAGCCACCTCTGTAAAAGCCCCTCCTTTGACTGGATGAAGCCTTGGAGAGCCATCTAGACACAAGCTGTAATACATACAGCAGAGACAGAATGGATCCATTTCATTTTAATTTAGGGTTTTTGTTTTGTTTTGTTTTGTTTTAATGTATTTGGTACAGGGTCTCACTACACAGCTCAGACTTGTAGTGATCCTCCTGTTTTCAGCCTCCAGCGCTGGGATTACAGGTGTGCACTACCATGCCCAGTCTCTGCAGCTGGCTCAGTGCACCAAGGTGGGGCTGGTGCGGCATGTGCCAGGCATCTATTACTATTTTTTTAGACATGGTCTCAGTATGTCATCCATGCCAGCCTTGAATTCATAGTCCTGCCTCAGTCTTCCTAGGGCTGGAATTCCAGGCATGTGCCGCTCACCTGGCTCCTCACTCCATTGTGGACTTTCATTATTACTGTTCTAAGTGGAGAGCTACTCAGAACTGGAGTTGCTGTTCTGGCTGTCCATCCTATGAGTGAACTTCTGCTAGCTAATTAAAAGTAATATGTAGCCATGCTTGATACATGGTGTGACAAATAACAATTGAAACATGCACTACAGAAATAAAACATGCCTTTCTTACAAGAGAAACAATGACTTACTGCACATGTTATATACACTTTTCCATCAGGTACTACAAATTGCAACCTAGTATGATGACATATGCTTGTAATCCTAGCTCAGGAGCCTGGCCAGCCCTGACAGTTTAGCTAGATCCTGTCTCATAAAAAAATAAAAAGTGAAGGGGCCGGGGAGATGGCTCAGTAGAATAAGCACCTGCCTGGCAAGCACAAGGGCCTGAGTTCAATCCCTGGTTCTGCCAAAAGTAAAAAAACGTAAAATGGGGGCTGGGGAGATGGCTCAGTGGAATAAGCGCTTCCCTGGCAAGCTCAAGGGCCTGAGTTCAATCCCCGGTTCCGCAAAAAAAAAAAAAAAAAATTATTAAAAAAAAGGCTGGTGAGATGGCTCAGTGGTCTAACACACCTACTTGGAACAAGCTTGGCAAAGCACAGGGACTGCGGTTCGATTCCCCCAGCACCACATGCCAGCCAGCCCCGCCCCCTGGCGAACTGAGCTGGACACACACACACAATAAATGTTTAAAAAAAAAAAAAAACGTAAAATGGGCGAGGATGTGGGTCAGTAGCAGAGCACCTGCCTAGCATGTGTGAGGCCTTGGGTAAAATCCTTTGTACAGCACTTCCAAACAAGGGGGACATAGAGGACTTAAGTTGGAGCCAGGGCTGGGGGAGAGGTAGGAGAAAAGGTGGGTAGGAGAAACTACAGGAGAAATCGATGTCACCATTAAAATACAGTCTTGAAGAAGAGTTTAAAAACTCTTAAAAGATGAGGTGAAGATGTACATTGAAAAATGATACCCTGCACTAACTGACCCTCCCCAGGATTACCTAGTGAGGTGGATTGATTCGAGACGTTTCCTGCGAG